GATACACATATATATATAATCATTTTGCAGGATGATCACTCCATTTTTGGTACTCGGTGTGGGAGTGGACGATTCGTTCTTGTTGATGCAATTCTGGTTTTATTCACAACCTATGTCCTATTCCCGTCTTCACGGGATGTATACAACTATTGGCCCATCTATTACGCTTTCTTCCTTTACAAATGTTGCAGCATTTCTCGTACATTAGACGTTTATTTTTATCCTTGTGATACAATATTGCTTTCCATTCTAATAATTTATGCACTTTTACTCCTAACTCCTTTAACATTCGCCTTTAACATTCTGCTATTCCGCAGTAAAATTTATTGCCAGCTTAAAAAAGTGAAATTTTGAAAATTTACAGGTGGGATATGTCATGTCACCATCAATGGATATTGCTCGTTTTTGTCTCTGTTCAGCAGCTGCATTTGCATTGTGCTGGCTAGTAGAATTATTTGTTTTTACGCCTCAATTGCTGCTTTGTTGTCCTGGGAAAGTATCATTAAATAAAAATGAAGGATTCTACATGTTAGTTTTCTGCTACAATTAAAGATAGATTGTCGGATCGGTGATTAGTATTGAGCGTTTTCTTTACAAATTCTAACGATTTCAGGCCTAAGCGATATTTTAAAATGTACAACTGTTTTCTTCAAAAATTTTCCTTCATTCATATTGCGATATTGCTATTGTTGTTTGCTTCACTCGGAAGTTGTATATTTATGATTGTGAACATGGAAGAAAATTTCGCTCCTGAAAAAATATTTGACGATAACTCGTTTCTTGCAAAATCTCTTGCTTCGATGAATAAAGTTGGTCCAGTCTTTTATAAAACCTCAAGCCTTAGAAAATTAATTTTAGCAACTCCATATTATTAGAGTTCCTTAATTAATTTTGAAGAAATTTCAGGCATAATTAATACTAATGAATAATGATAATTATTAAAAATTTTGTAGATTTATGGAGATCATCAGATGGTCAGAATATTAGTGACAGAACTGCCCACAAATGCTATCACATTACGGGCTGATATAGCGCGAATTACATCTTTTCATTATCTATGTCATAATTACACGACCTGGCTTGAACTTTACGAACAGCTATATCATCCTTTATCAACTGATATCCAGGAATATTTCAGCCAGCTACCTAGCTTTATCAAACGATATCCAGAAACTGCATATTACCTGAATTATAATCATAAAAAGTAGATCTAATTTATTCTTAACAAAATGTTCAAATTGTTTTAAAGCAATTACCGCAAAGTTCTTCCTGTCATTATAATACCTTACTTTCCCAAGAAATATAAGCCATTGATGCCACCATTGCATTATCAATTGCTAAGCAGTCAACTTCACTGAAATGCAATGATTTTTTTCCAAACTTTATTTCAGCAATGCGTTGTTTTCATTAAACAAAATATCATTTGAATTGTGCCTGCAAGGATTTGGAAAGTGGCGAGATCGTGCCACTGTTGTAAATGGTTTGCGAAGATTACTTCCCAATGGCTATTCAATGTTTTTTTATGATTCACACATCCTTGATCTCATTTTATCAATCAAAAAAACAATTCTGGAAGCAGTGATGATAACAGTTGCAATTACGGCCATCATTTGTTTTTTTTTCTTGCCGATGATAAGAATAGCCATTTGCACTATACTTTCTCTACTATCAATTATCATACGTTAGTTAGTATTATTGTTTAAAAGTACAAATCACACTACAGATGATAATGCTTGCTCTTAATGCAAGCACTGATTTCTCACAATGATTATTTTAATTGCTTGAAGCTATTCATCACAGAATATTCTCGAAATCATGAGCTTTTTCGAGAATGCTTATAGAAAAATAGATGGCTCCAATTTTTATTGACGTTGCTTCAGGTGTTGAGCTAGGACACTTCAAATTACTGTTGTAATTAGATGTTATTACAGTAGTAATGGGAGGTCTTCGGTTTTGGGGAGCAGAATTGGATGTGGTGCTAATGGTGAATGTTGTTATGGCTGCAGGCTTTACTGTTGATTATGTGTCGCATATTAGCTATCATTTATTTCTGGAAGCCGGAACTATGACGAATCAAACGGAACGCATGGCCAGAACTCTACATGCTATTTTTGGCCCTACAGCTCAAGTAATATATTTATTTTATTTGGATTTGTCAAGACTCGTGTAGTGAAAAACCATGAATTTTTCTAAAACAGATAGCATCGTCCAGAAAATATCGCTAATGATAAATGATACTAACACTGACCAATATGAATTTTAATCTGCGCAATATTACAAAAGGAGACTGCTCAACACTTTATTCTGCTGAGTGTTACTAAGGGATTCTTTCTTTGTATCAGGATACAAATGCGCTTACAAGTAGTTGTTACATTTCGCTTACAAGCAGGTAAAATATGATTCATTCCTCAATCTCCATTTAATTTTACTTTGTTTAGGCAACAATCACAACTACCAGTTGTATTATACCATTACTATTTCACAACGTTTATATGTATGCCGTCTTTGCCAAAACAGTTCTATTATGCAGTATTTTCGGATTTTTGCACGCAGTATTTGTGGTGCCCTTTCTGATATCGTTGGTGGAAATGGTTGTGCCTTCAAATTTTAAGGAGCGCAGAAGTACTAGACAATCTGAAATTGCTTTTAATGGATGAACTGTTGCCATTTTGGATTACATTAGTGGTTCCAATGTAATCCAAAATGGCATCAGCTCATCCATTAAAATAAGTGTTACATCCAATACTGATTGTTAGATCTTTACACTTTAGAGTTTCGTTATTTTTGGATCCGAATTCTTCTGAATATTACAGGTCCATTTATAAGCAGAAGCGATTTAAGTAAAAAGCTTTTCAATTAAACAAATACATGGATCTCAAATTACTCAGACAAATAAATAATTTGTAACCATAAGGAACTATCCAACATTCTAAGAGAATTATTTGTAACAATGTAATTGATAAGAATATGGATAATAATAGTTTTTATTCATAGCCTTATCAATCGTACTGTTACAAGTAAGCGACGTTGAGCTTACTTGTGTGATATTGAGAACTGTAATTTACATTCGACTAAATGAATTAAATAAACTCATCCACAACTTTCGTCTTACTTTGATATTTAAGAATTAAATGTAGAGAAGATAATAAAACTGGTTGTGTATTCTCCTGAAGGGAGGTTGATTTATAAGATTGCTTTAGCTTGCTTAGGATGAAAATATGATTTAGATCGGAGGTATTCGAAAGAATTAGGCATGAAAATTTTCCTGTAGTTTAATATTAGATAAAGAAGTACAAGATGAGAACGTAAACTACCTGGCAAGAAATGAAGAGCATTAACTTCGTTGTTACATAAAACACAAAACCTGTATAAACTGAATGGAAAATATGGCTACCTCAATGAAATTATCTCGTAATAAATGCTGTGGAAACATTTCAACGATGTTAGCAGGAGAAAAAGAGAAAATATGGCGATTACATCACACGAAGACCTTGTTATCATCACTGCATTATTCTAGATGCCTCATCTCTCAAAGAATTGGAAAATCGTTCAAAAATGGATCCTATAACTGCGACATATGCAAAGAGCAAGAACGTCGTGGGTGGTCTCGTGTAGCAGCATGTAATGATGCCAGTAATATGGAAAGCTCAATGTGCGGTCGTTCTTGTCTCAATGATTAGTGTTGATTTGTATTTCTTGTATTACCACTTGGTATCTCTTCTTTTACTGTCCTTACAATATTTCCCTTTTTGACGTGGTGTGGCACTGATCGTGAACCATTTGACATTTCTGGCCGATAAGATAATGTTACTCTCTACTGCTCTATCTTCTGTCACAGTTATTATTAATATCAATATCACTATTACTGTGACTACTATTGATACGAAAATGTTGCAGTGGATAAGCCATTTGCAT